TGTGTAAATATCGTATATTCTCCCTAGTATAAGAACTCAAAAGAAGGAATACAAATAGAAAGTTATAATACAAGTAAAAGGAAAGCAGGATCTCAAGGACAAACTAATCAAGAGAGGGAAAGGAGAAGAGCTAGGAAACATGTCAATGTCAAGCCATACTGTTTTATTGTAGAAGATGAACAATGCAATGATCCTGAGATTCTTCAGAAGATTTTTTAATCTAGCAGTTATTTGGAAAGATTCTCATCCTGATGTACTCTTTGTACTGATACCTATGAACTAAGCTACTGCACTGCTGATGGTAATTTGTAATAGTAGTTTCATGCTTGAAGTGCCTGTCCTTCTGGTCTTCTGATAATGGGCTGCTTGTCATGACATGCCAGTTGCTGCTATGATGTCCCTCGGGTTGATGGTTGTTCAAGAAGAAGGGTGTGGTGAATGAAAGCAAGAGACAGGAAAAGGAATATTGTGGGACTGTCCTCCTTCTAGTTTGTATATGGTGAAATTTTTGTATTTATGTGTAAACATAAGAATTATATAATTTGTTATGCCTATTTTAAATATTTATTGTAATTTGTAAATGTTTTTTGATCACATTCTTTAGGGACTTAAAGTTCAATGTATCAATACTTGATGAAAAATACCTGTTCCATAATATGCCTAAGATGTTTGATATGCAGACAGATAGTGAGGTTAAGCTTAACAGCCTAAGTTGTATGGTAATAAAAATAAGCTTTTCTTCTGGATGTTTAATAACCTAAGTTTGCAGATCAAAATTAGAGAAAAAGGAGGGCTGCAAAGAAAGTCACATTTTGGCAATAGCCTTCTAAGGCCAATTAAAACTGAGGACATATGAGAACTTGTACTGTAACATCATGTAATTCAGTAGTGTCCCAAATTTTCTGATCAAGGAGACTATGGGGCCTAAGCGGAAAGTGATCAATGATGTAGTGTGTGCATAAGGAGAGTCCCATGGCAAGAAAACATTCTCTCAGGCTTTAACCGAAAGCACATTGTCCAAGCCATGGCCGTGACTCATCCACATGGGTGACACTGACAAAGGTTCTACTATCTGAGGTACAGGATCTCAGGATAAATCCTGAGGTATTTCACTGACCTTATCAGACCAAAAACGTACAACTCTTGTTGCATAAGTCCTACTTTACCTTGGTCTTAACCACCCAGCAGAAAAGTATAAAAATGTAATACAAGAAGTAAAACCATGCTGTTATGTTTAGCTGTAGGGGACTCTTTTCAACAATTTCTGACATTGCCAATCAAGCAGAAGACCCAATACTATTATGGGCTTCTAGACTCTTTAGAATACTTTGCTGAGTTTATACACCCATTATATTCAATTAACGGAACTTAACAAAAAAGGGATACAGATGAATGTCCATTTTTTATCTGTGTATTCAAAATGGTTAGTATAGATATATTGTTACATTCTGTTAATGAATAGTGTGATTTGTTCTAATGTTGTTTGTAAATAGGATATCATGCCTGCATCTTGTACAGCAATTAACCACTAGGAAGAATGTATGCAATGTGTTAATTATTGAAATTGTCCTACCAATTTGATTTGAAACTCTCTCATTGCTAGTTGTTTATCAATAACATTTTGGGGAAAAAAGAAAGATTTAATGAATGAAGGCGAAATACTTCTCAGAGTATGTTCCTGTCCTATATAAGCTGTCATTTCTCTCTTTACACACAGTTAATGTCTAAGGCAGTTAATAAAATTGAACAACAACAATAACAAAAAGGAAATTAAAGAAAATGTGTTTTTTCTATACAGCATATTGTATGCCAGGCCTGAGCTGTGTCTGGAGGGTACACGTTGATGTTGGTGGGAGAGGAAGCTGTCACACACACTCACCGTGCCTTGGCTAGGACTCTATCCGTGGTTCCCCAGAACACAGCAGAAATTCTCAGTGGGTGGGCCCTGTGGGGTTTGTTGCTGTGGAGAAGTGGGAGGGTCCTAAGTGGTTGGAAGAGGGTCTCAGCCACGTTGCGCATGGGATTGGACCGGCAGGTCCCGACATCATAGTGTACCAGGGAGCTCTCCCACACACTCACCAGTATTGGCCTAGGACTGGATCTGTATGTTACAGGAACCCGGCAGAAATTTCTACTGGGAAGGTGCCGTGGTGGGTTATTGCGGAGTGGTGGGGGTCCTCCCATAGGGGTTCAAGAAGATCTCACCCAGTCTGCACCTCGCTTTGTACCTGCAGTTCCTGCAAGTGCAGGGTAGCTGGTAACTCTCCCACACACTCCTTTTGTACCTATTTATTTCTATTTCCCTGTTAGTCTTCTTCGTAGTGGATTTCATCACATTTGGTGTAACTACCTTAACTTAACTGAGACCCGAAACAAAATATCTAAGTCTCAGCCCCAGATCTTCTTTCAAGTCATTGCATGATCTTAAGGAAGACTGGTGATTCCCAATCCCTTTCCCTCAGTTTTAAGACTTCCTTTCCAAATGAAATCATTTGTGGAAAACTTTGTCCTCATTAGCGGGCTCCAGAAACCTAACCCACAGGATTATGAAAATTAGCATTTGAAAGTCATTGCATTATTTCCATCAACAGGAATGGAATTTTTAAAAATGTATAGTACATTCATCAATGAAATATAATTCAAACATAGAAAGGAACACATTTCTCGTACTTGTAACCAAATGTTTGAATATCTGAAGCAAGCTGAGTAAGAGGAGACTCAGTGAGGACCTACTGTATGATTCCATTTATAGATCTTAGAAAATGAAAACAGCTTGCAGCCAAAGAAATAAAATAGTGGTTGCTGGACGGAGGGAATAGAGGAAAGTTTGGATGACAAAAGGTCACAAGAAAATTTTTGGGAGCAATGGAATTGTTAGTTAGCTTCACTGTCCTGGTTACTCTGTGGGCATCTGGTAAACTTCATGGAATTGCACACTGTAATTGGATGATGTATATTCATAAATTATATCACAAAAAACGATCAAAATTCACTGCATGGATTGAATCTATTGTCCCTTATAGTTCAGCTATGGTAAATATGACTTGGAATCAACCAGATTTAGCACTGATATTGACACTTCCCTTGACTGGTTATGTAGTCCTAGGCAGGTCACTTAGATCAGATGGGCCCATTTCTTCATTTTCAATATGAGTTGCAAATAGTACTACTTCACTGAATTATTATGAGAATTCTATATCCTTATGCTCAGAGAGCTTAAATCATCATTCAGCATATTTGCTAATTGTTCAATAAACATTAGCTACATTTTCAATTCTGTGATTTCAAATAGTTTTATAGAGCTACTTGAAAAAGTTCAGATGTGCCATTGATGTGATTTTTTTTAACGTATTTAGGACAGGGTCTACAGGGTCTATGGGGGTCGCACTACATAGATCAGACTTGTAGTGATTCTCCTGTTTTCAGGCTCCCAAGTGCTGGGATTACAGGCACGTGCCACCATGTCCAGTCTCAATCGCTGCCTCAGCACAGCCCAGGGGCAGGGCTGGCACAGCATGTGAGACATCGAACCCTGGTTTGTGTGCCTGCCTAAGCAGGCATTTTAGTCCTCTGAGCTATCTGGTCGGCCCGATTGATATCGTAATTCTAATTTTGACTCCACTACCAATTGAGTATGATTTTTGAAAAGTTTCAATACATTCTATGAGTCTGTACCTTCTCATTATTAATATGGGGGAGGGGGAATGATGCTGTATTTTTTTATCAATTCATAGAGATATTAGTGCTAGAAAAGCAACTAGTAGATTATAAGAAAGTCAAAATGGAAGTATTTTATAAAACTGCAGGAAATAGCCGTGGTAGGATTTTCTTATAATTCTGAGGTTTGGTGGAGCAAGGAGCTTGTGCTCATACAACAGGACTTGTCTTCGGTAAGGTTGTAAAGTTTCTGGCCTTTGTCTTTTGGCCTTTTATTACAACACTCTTTGTCCTATCTTCCAATTTCAGTAATGCCTTGCTTGCTGCTGATAGTCTTAAGAGATTTGTCTGTCAGTGAGGAAATGATACTGAATAGCTCATTTACCATAAAATAAGTAACCTAATGGATGACCACTAACATCATCATCTGTAAAGAAAGCGCAAAAGTAGTACCTCTAATGGAAATTCAAATCTCAGTAGGAATATTCTGGGGCTGGAGCACTTGCTGAAGCTTTTCACATATCAATCATCTATGCTTCCAAGGGTAAAGTCAGATTCCTTTAAACACTTTTACCTATCAGTGAATACATAACTGAGTGTTATTTTAGAATTTTAGTAGAGATGGAAGCTTATGTCATTTTCCCATAACTTTCTTCATTGCCCCTTTAACATTTTCATTCCTCAAGCTATATATCACGGGGTTCAACATGTGTGTCAAAGCCCCATAAAACACTGAGATAAACTTGTCCTGGTCAGGGGAGGACTTAGACTGAGGTTTCATATACATAAAGATGGCTGTGGCATAAAAGATTGTCACCACAGTTAGGTGAGAAGTGCAAGTGGAAAAGGCCTTGAGCTTTCCTTGTGCTGAGCGAATCCTTAGGACAGCAGCAGTAATTCGGAGATAAGATAAGAGTATAAAACCAAAGGGTAGAAGCAGGGTAAAGATACCAGTGACCAGGATTATAAGCTCATTGAGGCTGGTATCAGTACAGGCCAGCTTAATGAGGGACAGGATTTCACAGACAAAATGGTTGATGACATTAGCCCCACAGAAGCGGAGCCTCAGGGATAAGACAAGCATGCAAGTGAGTACAAGTGATGTTCCCCATGATGTGGCAGCCAGCCAGACACATACTGGGCGACTCATGATCACAGAATAACGCAGGGGATTGATGATGGCAACCACATGGTCGTAGGCCATGGCAGCCAAGAGGAGACACTCTGCTGTGGCCAAGGTCAAGGAGACACTCATTTGGGTCAAACATCGTGGGTAGGAGAGGTAGGGATGGGTAGAGAAGCAATGCACTAAGGCCTGTGGCATGGAGGCTGTTCCGTAGCAAAGGTCTAAGAATGACAGATTACTAAGGAAAAAATACATTGGTGTGTGGAGTTGTGCATCAAAGTGGATGAGAAAGATGATCAGTCCATTTCCCAGCAATGTACTGAAGTACGTTATCAGCACCAATGTGAAAAACATGCTTCTCCATTTGGGATAGTTTGAGATGCCAATGAGGAGAAACTCAAACACTGCTGTGGCATTGTCAGCACCCATCCTCCTCTCTCATCACAGTGCATTGAACAGGTGCCAGCAAGACTGCCTAGAGTCCCCTAAGAGAATGAGAAGAAAAACAGGGCAAGCAAGAAAGGAGGAAATAATTAGGGTGTGCAAGATCTTTATCTTTGTCCTATTCTGAAGATGAAGAACACAAATGGGATTTCTAGGTGGAAACAGGGGCAGAGGTAGAGCTACCCTCTTTCCTGTCAGGAAAATGGAAAGCTTTCCACCTTTTTGAATGCAGTTTTATGGAATTCACTGGCTTTTCTCTACAGTTGACTTCCTGAATACTTTCTTCCAACTAACTAAGAAGAAAAGAAAGGGAGGCCACGTTTCTGGCTCTCACATATATGTTCATTTTCCCAAGACAAATTGGAAGCCAAGATACAGTTGAGCTTTAACTAGCACAGAAACTGTTATAGCTGAATTCTACCTGTTCTGGGGGGCGGTCTAACTCCTAACTATACATGCCACTATTTCCAACAGCATCAGGATCTACCATGCAGTCTGCCATAGAGGAGAATAAATTAATCATTTGACCTAAACCAGTATTATGTAATGGGAAAGGCTGCTGAACATTTGAGGTCTGTGAAAAGCCCCTGCTAATATTCTGCCAATGAAGTTACATTTCTAGATTCTCATACACTTTGTGTACTGTGGTTGCTTAGCCCTAGTCAAAAGTGTGAAAATCTAATGTGATGTTTATGAAAGTATGAGTGATAAGAAGAGGGAATCAGTGCACAGCCATATGAAAAATATCACTTTTCTCACCCTCACCACCATCTTTCAATTCACCTGGATTTATTTTTTATATCTTTTTCCAATATCTGAAATTAAACCACTGCTCTTGTCACCTGAATGACCATCATGGCTCATTGGATTTTGTCAGCCACTTCTTTACTAATATTGTTGGTCTTGTTCTTATTTAGTTCAAAGGATGCTGTTAAATTATAAATTAGATCAGATCACTTATTCACTAAAATTTTTCTTTTTTTAAATCTATGATATACATGTAAATTATGCATGCTTAGTATGTACATCTTTTTGAGTAAGAAGAAAAATACAAATCCATGAAGTACTCATCATAAGCAAGGCCATAAGGGTAGGGATGGAAGCTCAGTGTTAGAATGTTCACTTAGCATGTTTAAAGTGCTGTGTTCCACCCCTAGAACTGCACCCCCACCCCCACTCCCATGGCTGTATATCTAACCATTACCTCTAAAAGTTTCTTCTGTCCCTCTCTTATCTTTGTGATAAGAATATTTAACACAGATCTATCTCTTGAGGCTGCTGTAGAATATTTATGTAGTATGTCTGAGACTCTGAGTTCAATCTCCAGTACTGAACAACAACAACAAAAAATAATCCTAATCTAAATCCTGGTCCTCCAAATCAAGATCTGCTCTCAACAAATTTAAAGTATATAATACAATATTGTTACCTGTAGCTCCCCATTTCGACATCATTAAATATCATTCTCCTTACTATAACACACAAGACTCTATAATTTGTCTTCTTATTACCTACTTCTCTTCCCTATTCTTATTACCTTTTCCCTGTGCACTTACTTGTCACCTTATTGTTCCTCAACACTCAAACCATTCCTTGACTGTGTTTCTCCATAGTTATAAAAGAACAGTAGCTTCATATTCATGAAGCCTAACATCCTTGCATGGCTTAATTCTTGTATTACTCACAAGGTATCTTTTTTTTTCAAGGTATCTTTTCAGTGAGTCCTTCCTGAGTCATCCTGTCTAGAACTTCATCTCTATCCCTTGACCTTTTCTATCCTTCCTTTCTGCATTATTTCCTTCAGACAATTACCTCTAGCATTCTGTATATTTTCCCTATTAATAGTTTATTGACTGCCTCTATCCACTAGAAAGTATACTAAATCAGTTTAGGAGATTTTTTTTTCTTTTTCATTACTCTATACTCTAAACCAAGAATAGCACCTGGTTCATAGTAAGTAATCAATAATTCCTTGACAAATGAATGTGTGAAAGGGGCTGTTCCATATGGAAAAGGAATCTCTTTTTCCATCCAACTCTTCCTGTGACATTGCAATTTATATAGCAAGCATGATTACTGTATTTGCTCTCCTTTATGAGTCTAATTCTCCCTTTTGTTTCTAATCCCTTTTTGAAAGCTTCTAATTGCACTCTGGTTATGTCTCTAGAGAAGTTTCTCACTGTCACTTCGCCTAAATTTTCAACAGCAATCTGTTTAAAGTAAATGATGTCTAATAGTTCTTCTCCTTCTAACAAGCTAGAATTCTCTAATTTCTCATAGATGAAATAAAAAAGACTTATCAGAGTAATAGGAATCCATTAATTTTCATCCTTTTTTTTGGGAGAGGCTTGTAAAGAAGAGAAGAGGCTTGGTAAAGGGTGGAATTTCTCTAACATTCTCTGATATGTGAAGTTCATTTGGTCTTAAGTTTTTAGGAAAGAAGGTTTCATGACTATGCCTGTGTACAATCTGGCTTTCTCAGTAACCTATCCCTCTGTTTTGGTCTATATGTTACAGTCTCTCAGACAGGCCAAGTATGCAAGAGAGGTAAATCTATAGATATGAAAGTGATTGCCACTCATGAAGAAGCAAACAAATATGAGATGGAGGAGATGATGAACCACCTTCACAGGAGTGTCCTCAGCACTTGAGAGACTTAATGCTGCTTTTGGCTTTATGTCTCACAGGACTTCAAGAAGGAAGTTTCCCTTGGACTGCCTCTACCCTTGCAAATCAACCCACAGAATGAGTGCATAAAGAATCAAATGGCTACATGAAGACATGCCCTCATGCTTGTTATGTTTTAAATTGGTACAGTTGGAAATACTTTTAACTCCCAATTGTGTTCAAGTTAACCACAGATAGAGTATTTAAAAAGATGAAGGGCAGTCTGCGCATGAAAGGACAAACTTGTTTCACAGAGTAGACAACTGATTTTATACCATCTAAATATGTCTGGTACTCTTAGAACTTTATAAAATATATGGCTTTTGCTGTTCAATATTAGATTTTGGTAAATAAATATTTCCATCTTTATATAAGTCTATAAGACCTAGTGAATCACAGAGTGTATATTGTTTCTCTAGTATTGAAAGAGGGGTTATGTAGTCTACTGCTGATGGCTCATGAGCCCAATAGGAAAGAAATCGATGATCCATTTGACTAAAAATTGGTGATAAGTCTATGGTTGTGGCACAGGCTTGTTTTTAAATAGTGGTAAGCTTACTAAGATTTAGAAATTGATCCCAAGTCTTCGCCTCAGTTAGTACTATGTTTGGATCCAAGGAACTAAAATTGTGACAATTTTCTTCTCATACTTAAAGGCTACTCAGCCTCTAAATTGAATAAACTATTTTTCATTTGGTCTGGGCTTGTCCTCCAAAGATTGTACTGAATGTTCCATTCCAGAATTACCTTTAAAAGATTCCTGGAAAACTGAGCCCAGAACATTTTCTCTCTTAGCCTTGTTACCTGCAATTAAGTCCCCATCCTAGCTTCCCTTTAAATAATAGCTTCCCACTTGCCTACTTGGTGATTGCCTGCACCAGAGAGATTGTTCAAGACCCTAATAACATGAGAAAAGGAGAAACAAAAAGAAATTAGAGCTTAGTCTTGTGACATACTCACTGTCTCAGGTTGCTCTTGTGCACCAGTAGAAGGAACAGAATGGGACTGCCTGAAAAATAATTCACCCAGTCTTCCCTGGTATGGAACTGTCAAGCTGTTCTTGCAAGCTCTTCTATCAAAATTTCAAAAACCTTCTCAAATTCTCAGGCTCCCAAATGCCTGGGCATCATCAAAGAAAGAAAATTCTTTTAGATTAGGTCAAACATCAACTGACAAACCCTTTTATCTGTTGCTGTTGGTAATGGTATCTAATTAAATTATTTAAGTCCTTGAGTGAATGTTTCCTTTACTGACCTTTGAGGCATATATAGTCTTATTAAATTTCTCCTAGCAAAGTTATAAGCAGTGGAGGACAGAGGTCACTTGAATGCCCTGCATTAAGACCTTTGGGTTACTTCAATTGAAACCAGCTATTTCAGACATCTTTTGCCTCTTAGCAATATTTATCTATTATCTTGGTGACCTGGAACCTAACTAAACCAAATTGTCACTTTTGTTAAAAGTAGGGGATAAATAACCACACTTTTGCATCATGACTTTAAACTAAATTAGGTGGCTTTCATGAGAAACTCCGTACATTCTCTAGCCAGCTTCCTACTCTTTCAACACCACCCATTCAAAGTGCAGGAGCATGGAAATGTAGTTTGATAGATACCTTCACGTTTTAGCGCATTCTTCAGACAGCAAAAAGATCTAATGCTAGTTTCTCGCTCCACTAATGCCAGAAAATGGGTACAAGCATTTTAAAATATTATACTGGAGTGGAAGCCAATACAGTCTTTTGGTTATTGCTCACTTATAGTGAAAATATAATGGACCAGAATTTGCCTTTCATTGAGTAATTTGTAGAAATGGTGTCATATCTCCTCTTCTCTTCAGTTAGTCTCAAATTCATCGATCTCTTTGGTTATCTGGAAGCTGTCACCCAGCCTCCATCTCTTGTTGTGTTCTGAACTTAAGCCATAAATCTTACATCTGTGGCCTACACATGATATCTGAGGTCCAGTTCACTTCCAGATTCAATTTCAAATGCAGGCACTAAGTTGATGAGCTTTACAGTAGCTTAAATAAGTTGAAGTTCGCAAGTGTAACCAGACCATTTATTTTATGAGCAGAGTTCAAAGTTTCTGATCTTCACAAAGAAAAATAAATAATTAACTTCCAAGAGCTTTAGGGATCTCATCCCAAACAAGCAATTAAATTTTATCAAATCAGAGCTGTTCAAAAACATACCCAAATTGATATTTTGTGTAGGGAAAACAAATAAAGACAAAAGAGACCTATGAGTCCATGGCACTTTCATACACCATTGCTAGGTTTTCTAGAGAAGTGAGAAATAATTCTGTTTTATTTTGGTC